ATGTGGAGAGTGCATCCCTAGGGGCAGAACTAGAAACCCGGCCCGGGGGTGATAAGGCTTGTGGTTGTGTAAGTAATTTATCATAGTATAAATTACTTGCTGATGCCTGTAATACATAGATTTTCAGTTATATTTCCTTTCAGAAAAAGGATGTGAGGTTCCGGCTATTGTGTTGGAACTGAATGTCTATATTTATTTTATTGCTTATTCATTTATTTATTTACTCATTCATTTATTTATTTGTTTATAAAGTTATTCTAAAATATATTTTACTGGGCCTTCCACTCACGTTTTATTATTTTATAAATATTAAACCCCTCTCAAGCGACTCTAGGAGCAGTGCGGAGTAGCTGAGTTAGTTGTTACCACCGGATTTGGTGAGGATTGTGATCATCGTCCCTGTGTACGAATGTAAGAATTGTAACTTCTGTAAACTCTAAATATTTAGATTTTTAGACTGTGGTTTATGTCTATAATGTTATTTACATGTTCATGTATGTACAATACTGCATATCCTGTGGGTGAAGCCCTGAACGACTTAGAAAGTGGGGCAGGTCCCATGACTTTCTTGTAATTTATTTTCAGCTAAATAGTGGGGCTCGTTTGGAAATCTCCTAAAATATTTTACTTCCAATCCTGATTATTATAATTTCAAATGTTTAATCACATTTAACTCCTAAACGAGCATCCACGTCACTGACGCTGGCTTCGGGGCGTGACATGGATTATATTGAAATTTAATATCTGAATACAAATCCATCAGATAAATATATAATGCATTACAAAATAAAATTAAGAGGACGAAATGGAAATAATGACATAAAAATGTCTCCAGACGACAACATTCCATCATCATGTTGCAATATTCACAAACTTACGACACACAAAACCGATTGGGTTCCCTGGCTTCGGCATTACATCAACAGATCAACCTCTTCATGCGTTACATTCACATCCATCTTTTAATATTATTTTCATGACAACTTTACAATTTTATCCTCTAGCTGCTCAAGAAAATTACATAAATGCACCTGTAAAAGCTCACTTAACAATGCTAAAAGACACTTCTATCCTCCCTTACAGGAATATAATCACCATAGCTACTCCTCCAATGTCGTGAAAGTAAACTTCACCATGCACAAAACTGGCACCAGCCGGTAAAATACGGATACAATTCCAGCGCGTGTAAGACACAACTCGTGGAATCACATTCCATAAAAGAGTTACGGGGAATTGCAGCAAACGCCTCTATATATATATATAT